CCCTTCCCAGCTCCCTCAGGAACTCTCCATTCCCTTCCCAGCTCCCTCAGGAACTCTCCAGCCCCTTCCCATCTCCCTCAAGAATTCTCCAGCTCCTTCCCAGCTCCCTCAGCCCCTCCTCATGGACTGACTTTTCCACATCTCCTGTTGCCTCACTCCATGCTGGTTTTCATTCCCATCTAATTTCTGTTCATGCTCCAAGATCTCTGCCAGCAGCCCTTGAGCTGCCCCTGTCCCGCTGTAAATGCTCCCAGGGGAATTGTCACCCTGCCCTTACCTTGCTCTGCTAATTTTAAACCATCTGTTTGATTAGCTTTTAATTTTCCCTGCTATTCTCTCTGATTTCTTACTTTGCTGCTGACGTCAGACTACTTCAGGACAAATAATTTATAACAAAGACCTAGTTCCTTGCCTTGCTTGTTCCCGGCTTCCTTGGTTCCTTTTGTTTCCCCGGCTTTTGGTTACCGGGGCAGCTTGTACTTTAATCTGCCTCTTGATGAATGCAAATCACTTCTTGTGTCCCATCCTTCCCTTTGCTTTTCATGCTTGTGCCATATTCTTCTGTAAATCATCACTTCTGGGTTTTTCTCATGCCAGGGATCACCTCAAAGGTGAGAATTTATGCCTGGTGCCTTCTAGTGCCCTTCCTGCCTAGTCATTGCATTGGTGAAGTTTGGGAAAAGAATTGCTAATTTGATTCCATCTCTAATGAACCCCATGGGTTCCTGAAATGTGACCTCCTGGGCATTGTCCTTGTGCAAGGTGACAGTTCTGGAGAGGTTGGGGTTGGAAGGGTCCTTAAATCCCATCCAGTGCCACCCCTGCCATGGCAGGGACACCTCCCACTGTCCCAGGCTGCAGCAGCCCCAGTGTCCAGCCTGGCCTGGGACGCTGCCAGGGATGGGACAAGGAAATATCTCTACCTTAGTATCCCCAAGCTTACCTTGATGAGGTCCAGTGCTTTCAGCTACAAAACCCAGACAAACAAAAGCAAATGAAACACCCCACAGAACGAAGATCTGCAGCAGTGCAGGTTCTGCTCAGTGGCATTTCTTCTCTCCTTGAAATAATCAGCACAGACACCATGGGGAATGTCATATTCCTGCATATTCCTGTTTGGGCAAATCCATGAGATGGGCAAAAGTCAGATATCCCAGGGGGTAGAAAGGATTTTGGGACAGGGCTGAGACCAAACGGTTCATCTTGCTCTTTCTCCAGGTGCTGCCTCTGTGCCTGCGGTTCCTGCCCAGCTCTGCATCCCCTCGTGCTCCTCCCCAGCCCAGCCCAGCCCCTGCCCACCCTGCCCAGGCCCCCTCCCCTCTGTGCTGTCCCCTCTGGCCCCACTCCCTGGTCACCTCCTGGAGCAGCCCCAGCTCCTCCCTGAGCCTGCTTCGGGCTCCAGCTCCCCCAGCCTGGGCACATTTTCCTGGCCAAGCTGCACAAAGCCACTTTTCTGGGGGAAGCAGGAGCTGCTGAGGGCACTCAGCCCTTGGAGGGGAGCTGGGGCTGCCTCAGGAGGAGCTGGCTCAGCATCCCTTGCAGCTCCTCCCAAAGCCCCTTACAGGATCAGACCATCCCTGGAGGTCAGATCTGCCCCCAGGTCAGGTGCCCTGGTGGGCTCGGGGCAGGAGCAGATCCCAGCACTCTGCAGGACCCGACAGCTCCTGAGTGACGAGGACCTGGAGTTCTGCTGGGCACAGAGCAGAGCTGCAGAGCACGGGCTGCAGGGGCTGCCCCAGCAGCCTCTGCCCCGGGCAGCTCTGAGCCTCCTGAGCGCCTTGGTTGTGGCTCCCAGTGCTCCCTCTGCCCTGTCCCTGCCCGGGGCAGCCTGGGCAAGCCTCACCCCCCACACGGCTAGAAAACAGTCTAAGCCCTGGTCAGCTGTGGGCTCCACCTTCACGTTTTGGAGACAAGACAGTGCATTTAGAGCAATTAGATTAAATGTGCCATATTTAAGTTAGAGGGAAAGTGCTTCTCTGTTTCATGTAAAGGCAAGGAATTAGTGATCAGCTGTGGCAGAGGTTACATCATTAGGAACATTTTAAAATAAAAATGCGTCAGTAAAGCTTCTGGAAACAGTTGTTCTGATCTAAAAACTCCTGAAAATATTTGAAGTACTACAGAGCTCTGCAGCCTGGACTTGGCCTGGCCCAGGCAGCCCTGGCCTCGTTCCGTGGGCAGAGTGGGAGACAAAGTTTGCCATGAGATCCTCCCACTGAGTCCTGAGGAGCAGAAAGGACCCCCAGACACTCCCCACAGACCCCAGCCCACCAGCCCACCCCAGCTGGACTCCATGGCTCCTGAACTCCTCCCAGAGGGGACTCTGGGTGAGGCTGGGTCCAAGCCCAGCCCCAGCCTTGGTCGATGCTTGCTGTGTGAAGCACTGCACAGCTGTGATGGAACCTTTCCCTCCAGGGCTGAGGATGGGAACCCAAACATATTTATATAAATAAATTATTCATTATGAGATTGATTAGACCAAGAGATTAATCATCATTATTTACTGCACAGCACAGGTAGCTGCAATTGCCAGAATGATATCTGAAAGAAGATTGAAGCAATTCTGTTAAAGCCAGCAAACCCCATGCGGAGCAGAGATTGATGCCACTCACCCACACCAAGGCCCGTGGGCAAATCTCTTTGGCCCAGCCTTCAGAAGTGACCTTGAGGGCATCCCTAGAAGGGACTCAGGCAAAGGGGGTGTTAGAAGATAAAAAACTGAGACTGGGCTTTTGTAGGACAAAGCCCCTGGAGTGGCAGCCAGGTGTCTCTGGGCTGTGCCTTTAGGGAAGGGATCAGTGGGATCACCTGGGGGTTCCTTTCTCAGGAACTCCACCTCAGTCAGGATGTGGAGCTAGGCTGGGCTCTGCTTTATCCAGCCCCAAGGCAGCAGGGCCCCTCTCTCCAGGCAGGGCACCCAGCTCTTCCCCTCCCCTGTGTCTCCCTGCAGGACCTTGCTAGAGTTCTGCTGAAGTTTCTGCCTTAGAGGAAGAAAAACCCCAAAGAAGCTGAGCACCAAGTCTCTGCCCAGGTCCTGCAGGTCTGGGAAGCTTCACCTTTAGCGCAAGGCAGGGGTGGGCAGGGCTGGACCAGCTCACCTGGGCTGCAGCCTGGGACAGGGAGGGTCCTGCTGCAGCCCCTGCCAGGGGCACATCAGGGACACTTCTGCTGCTCTGCCCCAGCCCTGGGGCCAGCACAGCCAGGACCTGGAGCTCTGGAGAGAGCCCAGAGGGGCCACGGGGCTGGAGCCAGGCTGGCAGAGCTGGGACTGCTCAACCTGGAGAGGAGAAGCTCCAGGGAGAGCTCAGAGCCCTGGCAGGGCCTGGAGGGGCTCCAGGAGAGCTGCAGAGGGACTGGGGACAAGGATGGAGGGACAGGAGCCAGGGAATGGCTCCCACTGCCAGAGGGCAGGGCTGGGTGGGAGACTGGGAATTGGGAATTGTTCCCTGGCAGGGTGGGCAGGGCTGGGATGGAATTCCCAGATTCCCCTGGATCCCTGGCAGTGCCCAAGGCCAGGTTGGAGCAGCCTGGGACAATGGGAGGTGTCCCTGCCATGGCAGGAGAATGGAAAGAAATGAGATTTGACATCTCTTCCAATCCAAACCATTCATAATTTTATGGTCTTTCCTCCCCTCAGAGCAATTCCTACATTGACAGACCCCACACCCCCCCCTACCCCCAGGATGCCCCAGGAGTATTTCACATCAGTACAGCAAGGCTGATCCAGAGCCAGACTTTATTATCAAAGCCACCCTTCAGGGAGTCCCAGCAGGCCGGAGCACCAGCCACCAGCGCTCAGCCACGCCAGCACACGCCGTGGGGGGAACAGATGGGCAGGAGCTCCCACATCGGAGCAGACTGCACTGCTCCTCCCCAGAGGCACGAAAATCCCTGCTCTGGTCAGCAGCCGAGAGGTGGTGCCAAGGTCCAGCAACACAGCTCATGCTGGGCGCTGGGACAGACAGACAGACAGACAGACAGACAGACAGACAGTTGCGTGTGCGTTGCTCCTGCAGGGCAGCTGGGCAGCCCGGCCGTGCCCCTCACAGGTGCTCACAGGGAGCCCAGAGCCCCCAGCTGCCCGGGCAGCAGCAGCAGGGCCGGGGGCAGCAGCAGCAGCGCGGGGCAGGGCGGTGCCCGCGCGGCCCCGGCCGCCTGCCCCGGCTGGGATCTCTGGCTCCGGGCGTAGAACCGTGCCACAGCCACGTTGGGGTTGCCCCGGGCAGGGTCGAACCACATCTGGATGCAGCGGCCGCTGCCCCGCGGCTCGCGGCTGTAGCGGAAGGAGTTGGACCAGATCTTCTCACACAGGTCCTGGGGCCGGGGGAAGACCTGGCTGAAGGGTCTGCACATGGAGCCCCAGGGACAGCGGTTGGTTCCTGTAGGAACAGAAAATGCCAATACTTCAGAAAGTGCAGAAAGGCCCCTGAAAGTAGACATAAAGCTGAGAAAGGCTGAGAAATTTCTAAACCTTCTCATGGGAGGCGAGGAAAATCAGAACCAAGTGAACACATTTATAGTTATCATAAGGAACAAGGAAGAACAAGAACTTATTGATAGTTCACGGTGTGAAAAGTCCTAGATATATGCTTTGCAAAGATAGAAAAAGTTTCAGTCTTAAATAATGAATTACTGTGTATTGTTTGAGGTTCATGGAAGTCCTTTTGTTAATGTTAAACCCACGTGGGTCCTTGTCTTATTGGTTAGAGTATAATGACTTTGCACCTTTTCTTTTATGCTATTGGGTCAAAGACTATGCAGAAAAAGGCTTTGCCTAAGCTGCCATCTTGTCTCTGCTGTGGATTTGCATGGATGTTATTATTTCCCTGTGTCTCTTGCTTTTTGCTTGTATGATACAGATAATAAACCCCGGGTCTGCCACCAGGCAGGGTCCCACCCGTTTGTGAGACAGGGAGCGATCCGGCAGAGGTTCCTGGGGACAGAGCAGCGTGGCACAAAACCCTGGTGGGAGCACAGCCCTCCTCCTGTCCTTCCCCTGCGAGGGGCAGCTCACCTGCCCACAGCCCACAGCCACACCTGAGCGGGGCAGTGCCACCTGCCCGGCCACCCCAGAGAGGACAGAGGGGTTCTGGCAGCAGTGGCACTGCCGGGGACCTGCCTGGGGGGTGAGGAAAGCTGCCAGAGCCCACCCCTGCCAGAGCCCACCGACCTGTGGCCCAGTTCCAGCCCTTGTGCCAGTTCTCCTTGCAGGTGAGGGCGTCCTTGCAGTCCTCCCACCACTCCTCGCAGTCCTCCCTGCAGAGGGGCACGTGGAGGATCCTCTCCCGACGCCAGCTGCTGTCAACCTGCGGGACACAGGAGCACTCAGGGGCCAGGGGCAAGATCTGCCACGTCCCAGATCCTCCCAGCCCCTCCCACGGGGACCACAGCTGACCCCAGAGGAGTCTCAGCCCCAGCAGAGATGTGGCTTGACACAGGAGTTCTTCCATCAGTCTGAGGACAGAAAAGCCCTTGCAATCTTTCTAGCCTGTGGGAAAAGCTGAGACACCCTAGATATTGAAGAGAAATCCTTCCCTGGCAGGGTGGGCAGGCCCTGGCACAGGTGCCCAGAGCAGCTGGGGCTGCCCTGGATCCCTGGCAGTGCCCAAGGCCAGGTTGGACACTGGGGCTGGAGCAGCCTGGGGCAGTGGGAGGGGTCCCTGCCATGGCAGGGGTGGAACAGGATGAGTTTTAATGTCCCTCCCAACCCAAAACAGTTCCACGGTTCCCTGATCTGACCCCACCTGCTCGATCCAGGGCCCCAGGTTGGGTGAGCACTCGTACAAGCACGTGTCCTGGATGAAGTGGCGCTTGCACTTGGGTGGCATCACCCCACAGTGGTTCCAGTTGAAGTTGTAGAGGTAGGACTGGTCCTTGTGGGCTTCCAGGCTGGTGTTGGCTGTGCAGCAGGCATTGTCCTTCCAGGGGGAGCACTGCAACAGAGGGGACGGGCAGCAGCTCCAGCGGGCACAGCCACCGCAAGAGCCCGCAGCAGCCACGGCATTTTGTCTACCCAGTGAACTCTCGGTCACTTTGGCTTCAGGAGCTGGGCACTGCAGCAAGGCAGAGCTGGAGGGGCAGGAGACCAGCTCCGGAGCAATTGTGCCAGCCCAAGGGACAGAAACAAACCAAACCCTCCTTCCCCTGCCAAGGGCAGAGCAAGGAGAGTGTCCCACCCTGCGAGGGAGCAGAGCAGAGCCCTTCCTCCCTTCTCCCCGTCCTTTCCCGGCTGGGCTCCGGGCTAGCCGAGCTCCAGGGG